GTAGCCCGTTGTTTCCTATAATTTCCCGTTTTTCACGACCGTTTCAAACCAGTTGAAACTACGGAGTCCGCTGGACACACGCGTGCACCGAGGTTTGACAGACCGTTTTATCCGCGGCTGATCCTATTTCGCGTGCTGAAGCGGCAATTACCCGTCATCGAGAAAAAGGAAGGGGTTATTATAGCCGTTCTTCTGGCGATTCCCCGTTGCCGTCTCGCGAATCCGCCTGCCGGTATGCGCTTTTCAAATCGCAGAGATGCCCGCGTTTTTTTAGCCACGGCCGGATCCCGATGAAATTTCAGAAGGGAACAACAACGTGATTTCGCGCGCACAAAAACGGGAAAAATCGACGACGGGAAATTGATTTCTCCGTGTTCCTCGTGTTCGCACTGCGTAATTACGAACTAATGACCGTCGATCACTTCTTGTTTCATTTTTGTGGCGTTATTGGTCTATTTTCTGGGAATTAGGTGCGTTAACTTCACGCCCAGCGATAAAGTAGTCCGCTGATTTTATGCGTTTCTGATAGAAATGAATGGAAAAAAAGTGAAACATTACAAAAAATGCAGCACAGTACAAAGAAAATAAGTCTGCTTAATTCTTATATACACAATGATTAATAATTAATCATTGGTACATCAAATTGCCCGAATGAAAAATGTGTTAAATAACGTGATGATTTACCTAATTAGATATAATTTGATATTATATTTACCCTTTGCACTATAAAAATGAGTCGGACAAAAATTGTCTCATTCCGTTAAAGAAATGACGAAGTACGAAAAAGTAGTAATTAACGTAGCTGTGAAAAAAATCGTAGAGCAAAGAGTTAAGACTATCCATAAGTGATGTGCAACATTTTACAGATAAACTATCGAGGCAATTTAAATTTACAATATCTTCTTAACCCTTTGCCGTACCATTATCTTCACAATTACAATTATTAGAACTTTCTCGATTATAATAATTTCTTAAAATATTATTAATGTTAATTATTATTATAATTGATTATTATATTAATATTTTATTATATACATTAATAATTATTATATTAACTAAATATTATAATTATATATATAATATTATATTATATTATATTAATAATATTATATATATAATATTAAAATAAATATATTAAATTATATTATAATTAATTACTTTAATTTCTTAAAATATTAAAAAATATTTATTGTGCGTCTATAATTATAATATTTAGTATTTAAACATTAATAACCTGAGAACCGAATTATATTCGAACTTATGGCAAGCAATTAACACTTTCTCCTGTGGTAACGAAAAAGAATATCGACAGAGGGCAATGAAAACTACGTTACACCTAACAAAAATCCGAGATGAAATCATCCGAATCGTCGGAATGACATAATTAAATATATATTGACCTCCTCCGGCCATCTAATTCCATCCAATTTAGAGTACTAGAGAACCGTAATTGGGTCGCAATCGAATTTAAATTCCAATTGTATCGAGATCCGCGCCGAGAAGAAATTCCGCGAAAGTTCCGCGAGAGGCTCGAAAGAGAAACTGATAGATCGATTCTCTCGATCCCGCGAGGAAAACGTATTGCGAAGGCGTCACGGTGGAAGATCGATCCGGGATTAATGATGCATGCACGTATCCCTCGGTGTTGTGCCAGTGCGAGAGTGCGTGGCAATGGGCCTTTAAAGCGATGCCTACTCGACTTCCTAGTCGATAGCTCGACAAACGATCTTCGTGTCGCTGTACGTATAGAAGTAGTGGAGGGTCATTGAGACGCTCGTGAACGTTCAAATCGGCGACTCGAAGTGTTTAAGTTTGTTGGGAAAAATTGAGAACACAAGGCTTATTCTTTGCAAATGATTTTAGATGAAATGTTTAACTTTGTGTTTTCCAAGGAAAATTCAGTTAGGCTAATTTGGATTCAAAATGTGTTAGTTTGTTGAGGGAAAAATTGAGAACACAAGACTTATTCTTTGGAAACGATTTTAGATCAAACGCTTAACTTTGTGTTTTCTAAGGAAAATTCAGTTAGGCTATCAATTTGGATTCAAAATGTGTTAGTTCGTTGGGGGAAAAATTGAGAACATAACGGTTGTTCTTTGCAATTGAGTTTTACATCGACGTTCAATTTTATATTTTCTAAGGAACGTAGAATTAGGATACCAAAATAAGAAACATGTATTGTCATTTGTTTGACACGGCTAGTGTAATGATATTTTTTCAGTGGTTTGTTTGAATTCGAGTGATTGCGATTTTTAATGATTTTCCTATATACTTTAATACTTAATAGAATAAGAATTATAATTATTGTCCGAGAGATGATATACTTTAATACTTAATGGAATAAGAATTATAATTATTATCCGATGATATACTTTAATACTTAATAGAATAAGAATTATAATTATTGTCCGAGAGAAAGAGAGAGATGATATACTTTAATACTTAATAGAATAAGAATTATAATTATTATCCGAGATTATATACTTTAATACTTAGTAGGATAAAAATTATAATTGTTGTCCTATGATATACTTCTCTCTCTCTCTCTCTCTCTCTCTCTCTCTCTCTCTCTCTCTCTCTCTGTCTCTCTCTCTCAACACTAGAATTACTGAACCAGTCAAAATGGCTCGTTTCTGATTTTTTCTTTCACAATCACTGAACTTGTAAAAACGTTTCTATGAGAATTTTGTTGATAAACTTCTTTACTGAAGCATATATTATAGTAGAAGTCGTTCGAATTTCGAGCAAATCAGATCTTGTCATTGTTGCAAAACAATGTATATTAGTCGCTTTCAGGATCCGATATTTCTAGTATTAAAGTAAACTGTAAATAATATTTAATATGAAATCACTTTAAATAATATTTAACTGACGTATTAAGCGTGAAATAATATGCGAAACGAGTTTTGAGAAAGAAATAGTTCTTTGATCGATTTCTTCACGAAAAGACATCGATCATTTTTCGAGATTTTACAGGAATTAGTTTAAATCCTAATTCAGAACATTTTTTTATATTTTAGTGGAATTTTAGTTTCAGTCCTTATATTAATTCCTCAATTGTCTTTTAATGCGATAATTAACTATTTTATTAAATATTTATGAGCACTCAACGCTACCTACGTTAATACGAGTAAAAAATTCAAAAGAGACACTACTTTATAAATTGGATCACACCGTTTTCATTTTTTTATCGCGAGTAAACCATTGTTCGATTTATTTGTATCGCTGCCAATCACGTTCTCCTTTTTATTAAATTGTAAGGAATAATAATTTTTTAATTTAATGATTAGATCTATACTTCATAGTCATTAGTTTTGCGCTACATTCACACTTTTTACATATTTTAGACCTATTATATCTCATTTTCGATAGAAACTTCGTCATTGGAATGAATCAACTACAAATGAAAATAGTTTAGTTATATATTTTCTTATTAAAATGTATTGAAGGACAATAAAAAGTGGGTTTAAGTGATTTAAACATTTCAGCAAACATTATGTACATCTTATGTCGCTAATTACTTAAACACTAAAAATATATTATTTCTATCATGCAGTAAACTTCCAACAAATTATCTTTTACCACTTGTGTGTGTCCTAAACATTAGTTTAGTTTGTACAACATATTTCATTTGTTCATACGTATTCGAATGCCACGAAAAGCCATCGCTAATTGTAAAGTTGAACACGTCTTACAAATACGAACGTGCGAAATGTTTCACCATGGGAACGAGAGTTTGTTAACGACAGCGTAATTTCTCCTCTTAAATCATCGCCTCGCATCCATGCTAATTCAATTCTAATTAAACAGTTGTCATCGCATATCCGTAACATCGCACTTAATAAATAGATCGACTGAAATAATTTAATACGAATCATAATAATAATCGCTTTAATATTCAATATGATTACGCGCGTATATTATTTTCGATAATATATTTCTTTCGATAATTGTAAGCTCACTTGATATTTACAGAAAGAAATGAAACTAATCGTACATTTGTTAACATCGATATACGCGTACGCAAACATTCGATACGGATCGCGGCACTTTTAGATTTAACCCTTAAATGCATGAATTAATGAATTTTATTTAAAAAATAGGGTTATAATTTTTCAAATGAGTGGAAATCGGGAAAAATATTAAAAAAAATTATAAGTCATATCTTATAGGGTTTTTATTGAAAAATATTAATGATTCATTTTTGGTACACTATGCAAAATAGACAAAAATTCTTTAGTTAGTATGACATATCTATAACAAAATTATAAACCACATGCATACCACACCAAAACAAAACCAACAAACCAATAAAGGAAGCATAGTACTAAATACATGTCGTAATTATTACCATTAGTGCATGTTGTCCCATTTTTGCATCAACACGAAATAAGCCCTCCATACACATGATAGTTACGGAATATAGACAAAAGTACTAGCAAATTAATAAATAAGAGCCTTACCTTTAGAAAATATTGTTTGTTTAACGAATACACCAAAATATTTCTAAATAATCCACTTCCAAAAGTACGTAAATGAACCCGCTATCAAAAATGCGCGCCAATTGGTATAACGTCAGAAAGATACAAATATTGAAGTCAAATGTCATTATTTTAGTTAATTTTTGATAAGTCAATGGACAAAGGAATCACTGCCATTCAGCCAAATGTATCGATATCAAAACTGTTGTCGGGTATCCGCGCAAAAAGTTATTGATTCATTTTTGGGGCTCTATGCATTTAAGGGTTAAAGATGCAACGCGATGATTAATCTTGATCTCCCTGTCTCTTTATCTCATCTCGTGTCAATCATTCTCCATTTACCTTATAATTAAATTATAAGCCGAAAAACTACCGAGATTAAGAGCCACGGAAGCCACTCAATTATCGCGGGCACCCGGTATGTGGTCAAGAGTCCATTGAAACGTAACGACCGAGATATGACGTCTCTGTTTCGAACAGCGAAGGACAACACGGTATAATTGCGTGTTTCCGTTTCAGAATACTGGGGATACCACAGGCAGGGATCCTGTCAAGCTGGATTGGGCGCCGCCATATCCAAGGTAAGTTTCAAAACCGAATGCACACGCGCTTCTAAATACAGTACTTTTCTCCCTTATTCGCGCTCAGATTGCACGCAAAAATGGACAATTTGGGAAAAGGAGATACGATTATTTTTATAGTCTTTACAGTTACCGGTTGTCAACAACCATAAAAACGAGACACAAGGCTCGAATAATCGTATCTCCTCTTCCCAAATTGTCCATTTTTGTGCGCAATCTGAGCGCGAATTAGGGAGAAATTATTGTAAGTAATGATTACTTTATCTAAAAATATCGGAGAAATGAATAGTTTATTATTAATTATCAAAGTATAATTGCCCTTCGAATCAGCGTTCACAGCAGCTCTATTGCGAGTATTTCATAAAACTCAACGTTTCCATAAGTTTCCAAATATCAAAAATCAATAAATTAATAAAAACTACGATTGCTATTACTTCTATGTCATAAATTATTAATACTAAACATGTAAAAAATATAGATTATATTAATATAGAGATATAAATATAAATAGAGATATAAAAGATTATATATATATACCTTGACATAACCTTGACATAATCTTTTAATATAATCTCTATATTAATATAATCTATATTTTTTACATGTTTAGTATTAATAATTTATGACATAGAAGTAATAGCAATCGTAGTTTTGTAGTATATATATATATATATATATTGTATATAAAAAGAAAGAAGAAAGAATTAAAATCTAACGTTCTATAGTGTGTAATCTTCTGAAAATTTATATAATCTATATTTAAAATATTATAATAAATATTATAATATTATATATAATCTTCTAAAAATATATATAATCTATATTTTTAGAAGATTACACACTATAAAACTTTAGATTTTAATTCTTTTATAAAATACCGCAGTATTTGGGCGCCTTCGCAGTAATACCCACACTTACCGTAGACCAACGTAGCAGTTCAACGCAAATAAAATTTCTAAATCGCGAGAACCGAAGGACCAAAATACTTGGAATACGTACGCAGAAACGCGTTTGCGAGCGATCGGCTCGTGGAACACAAACGCGGGGCGTAATGGTGGGAGCGGGATTAAAATTCAGTCTTGAACTATTGAAGTCAACGAGAGGAGGCCAAATACGAGCTTTCGTCGGTACGGTCTAACTGTGTTTATACACCCGGCGGATATAAATACGGTAACCCCACGTGTCCTGGCGGGTGCCGGGTTCTGAAAGAGTTAAGAGGCGATACGAGGGGTCGGCGAGTGCCGAATATGGCCAGGAATGTGAATTCCTACCTTACGCACCTCCGACCGGGCATTCGTATTCGTGGTGCATGCGAGGCATAGAGGCAATCGGCGGCCCTCTCGTATACGATTGTCTTGTCGAAAGCTCGATTTTCTGGCCGTCGCGTCGCGTCGCGTCGCGCCGCATCGCCGAGTCCCCGGGACACTCGGCTCCTCTCCCGGGCCCCAGAACCGTAGGCGTCGGCCACCCTTTTTTACTCGATTTTCACCGGCAGAGATGCATCTCTCGACCTGCGCACACCTAAAGGCCGTACGACGGTTGTTGCACCTGCACGATCTACCGTTTGATACCTTCTTCGCCTGGGATCCTGCTCGGCGCGACGAGACACCGCGATAAGTATCAGGGCCAATAGGTACAAATTCGAAATTGGTATGTTAGCCTCTTATTCTCGCGACGATCGGCCAGGAAGAAAGGCTGGTGTGTACGTGGAACGTATGAGGAATGGGTTTCGGGTACCTGGACCCTGGGCTCTTCCGCCGCCGGGACGAGTCAATTTTATGATTGCGAGCTTGCTGTTCCTGGGAACCGGCTAAATTGTTTCCCTTCGGAATACATAGTTATCCTGCATTCGAAACGACACTTTGTTCGAACTTGTGCAGTCGCTGTAAAAAGTATTCGTACAGATTTTAAAAGAAAACAGCTTCTTGAAATTGAACCGAACGATTTTGATATGATTTTTGGAATATAGGATTAAGAGTCAAAATGACTGGTATCACGTCAAAATGACGTTTTCTTTTATAGTTTCTGATATTATAAAAATATTTCTAGGAGAAATTTTTGGGTACATTTGTTTATTGAAGCATATATTATAACTAGACTGAGGATGTTTATGCAAAATAAGAATTTTGCTTTGCAATTTCATAGAACGTGAGTTATATAAAAATGTACTTCTTCATTTAATATGTTTAATCAATTGGAAGTAGTGTAACAATATTCTGAAATTTTTGTACCTATTTTTGCAATATTTATATTTTTTATTTTTTATTTTATTATTATTTATATTTTCTTTTATCTATTTTTGTAATGAATGCATAATATCCGCTGTCTGATTATAACATAAATCATACGATATTTAAAAACATAAATTAAGTCTTGACATTGTTATAAAACTATATGCATTAGTCGCGTTTAAATCTTGGTAGTTTTAGGGTTAAAGCAAAAATGGTGTAAGTCAATTTTTTGCTAAATTGACTTAATATTTTTAAATTATATTCAATACGATACATTATTTGATTTTTTATAATTATTTTACGTTAAAGTTTAAAAGCGACGTGCATGAAAGAGTTGTGACAATTTTGTACGTTATTGCATTTCACAGACCTTTCAATCCATCCTTTATTGTCCACAAATTAACTTTTTTACTTAACACGATTTCTCTCATTAACTGCTCATATGCAGAGTTTATAAACGATGTTTAACCCTCCGAATGTCGGGTCACCGCCGACCCAGTCCGTTTGCATATAGTTATATTCATTGTATTTATCGCACCCTATAAAATATGATAAAAATATCGTCGAAGTGAAACGAAAAATTCTCTAAATATCCTGCTATGTGTTACAATTTTCAACAATTACATTCACAAAACTCATTTAATGTTATGTTACGTGAAATACAAAATTCGTTGCAAAAATGAACCAAATGAGCAACAGCCTCCAATTTAACCCCCCCCCCCCCAGAAAACAACGCATTCGTAAGAAGTGGTAGTCTCTAACTTAATCCGAAACTGAAACATTAATCAATCAAGTAATAGCTTTTAATTTGACGCAGGAATGAAAGATCCGTCGCAGAAAAGAACAATCTCCAGCAGTTTTCCCTGTTGGTGGTGGCAATCCAGCAAAAGCTGTGGCATACGAAAAATCGCGCACGTCCTGAGGGGCCGCGGGGCGGGGGGTTAAACAAGCGATTAAAATTCGCGAGCGATTCGCAGCTCCGCCGGTCCCGGGACGCCGCGGCGACTCCGAAAAAGCCGGATAAAGACGAGCACGGTCGAAGCCTCGAAGTCGGGCGCGAGCAAGAATCGAATTTGCCTAAAATCATTGCGGCCGGGTCGTTTCACGGACTCGTGAGGCCGTGGCCGAAGTCACGATTGACCGTTTCGGCTGCGGGGGTGGGGTATTAACATTGAATGCCGATCGCGGGGCTAGAACCGGCCACGGTCCGGAGCATGCATTAAACATCTGCCATATAGCCGGACAATTCTGAATTATACATCCGTGGCAAGATAGTCGGCTGAGTGGCCGCGGAATTGTCCCACTATTTCTTTGCCGGCAATCGAAGCTGTCCCGCCGCGCGATAACGCGGCTCTCGCCGCGAATTGAGGTCCGCTAGGTGGCCCCGGAGAGCGAAACTGCGTGTCGTTTCGATGACAGAGTCAACTGCGCGAAATTTTCTTTCGATACTGTTCACTGTTCGATTTGGAACATGTGGGCTGACGTGATGCGGGAAATAGTGATACTAGACGTGCTTGCAAAATGAAACTATTGGGTTGGCAACTAAGTAATTGCCGATTTCAGTTATAGATGTCTCTCACTCCCATTTTTATGATATCCGTAAATGTTATATTATAAAATTATTATTATTATTATGTTATTTTTTATTATCCGTGAATGTTAGCAACTGGACAAATTGAATGCAGCGGTCAAGGAAAAGCGACCAGAATTGGTCAATCGTAAAGGTGTCATTTTCCACCAGGACAATGCTAGGCCGCACACGTCTTTGTCCACTCGGCAAAAATTGATGGATATTGGTTGGGAATTGATGTTACACCCACCATATAGCCCTGATCTCGCGCCATCGGATTACCACTTATTTCGATCCCTGAACAACTCCCTTCGTGGTAAAACTTTTAACGATGATGACGCTGTAAAATCTCACTTAACTCAGTTTTTGGCCGAAAAGGATCAGACTTTCTACGAGCGTGGGATTTTCAAGTTGTCAGAGAGATGGCAAAAGGTCATCGAACAAAATGGAAAATACATTACAGATTAAACTTCATTCCAAGTAAAAAAAAAATTTTTTTTTCATTGAACAAATCGGC